TTTTGATTATTATCCTTAAACATTATCCTCTCGTATATAACACTTATATACAGTGTTTAAGGTTACATAAATAATCATGGAATTTTCATTGATATTCACAAAATATTCATAAATATATGCACATAAAATAATGAATAAACTATTTTATTAAATAAATAATAAATATCATATTACATCTCATGCTTCTAGGACACCATTCCCAACAGGGTCGACATGAGAGGAGATGGAGAGAACGAAGTGACGATAGGGAGAAGACAATTTTTGATAACTCAGGGTGAAGGAAATGGGATACGGAGTAACTGTGGAAGAAGTGGAAGAAATACGAGAATCAAGAGAAGAATTGGCCAAAAGATAACAGTGGTAATCCGAAAGGTAAGTAGGAGACTTAATGACACGATGGGGGCGAGAGGAAGAGGCAGGGTCAGAAAGAGAACCCGAGGTGGTTGTGGAGAGTGGATAAGGCAGTGTAGAAAGGAGTCAGGGACAGATTGAGAAGGAATGAAGGCAGGAAGTACACGGTCATGAAAAAAATCATGAAGAGTTATTTGTGAACGTGAGTCAGTAAATGGAAAAATATTTTCATGAAATTGAACATGCCGTGATATGTAAACATTGTGACTCTCTAAATCGAGAAGTTTGTATCCTTTGTAACCGAATGGATAGCCAAGAAAAACAGAGCTTCAAGCTCGTGGAGAAAATTTTGAACGATGAGCACGAAATGTGGAACCATAACACATACAACCAAATGTGCGGAGATGAGTATAGGAGGGCTTTTTGTTGTTTAACATTTCAAATGTAGTCTTATTGGATAGTAAAGGAGACGGTGTGTGATTGATTAGATAAACGGCTGTGAGAATACAATCTCCCCAATAACAAAGAGGGACACAAGACTGAAACAAGAGAGCACGAGCCGCGTTAAGAATATGTTGGTGTTTTCGTTCAACAACGAAATTTTGTTTCGGTGTCTCAACACAAGAATGATAAGGAATGATCCCTTTGGAATGGAAAAAATCAGTGAATGCTAACTCAGGTGCATTATCTGAACGAACGAATTTGATTAAGGCATGATATTGTGTTTGAATGAGATTATAAAAGGTAGGAAATATGGTTAGAACATCTGTTTTATTCTGAAGTAAATAGACCCAAGTGGCTCTGGTGCAATCATCAACAATTGTTAAGAAATAACGATGACCATTAATAGTTTCAACATGAAAAGGGCCCCAAACATCTATATGGATTAAGTCAAAAGGATTAGCAGACAAATTGTTAAGTGCAAGAAACGGAAGACATTTCTGTTTGGCTAAATGACAAACACGACAATGAGCAGAACATTTTTGTGAAGAACTAGAAATTTGTAATTCTTTGTTAAGGATCTGAAGTTTTACAGCAGATGGATGCCCAAGGCATAAATGCCAAACATCAAATTGAGACACTACAGAACAAGAAAAAGGAGAATTACAAATTGGTTTTTCTAGTTCTAAAAGGTAAAGATTGCCGTGGTGTTTACCCCTCCCAATCGTCAAGTCCCGAGTAAGGTCCTGAATGATATAAGCAGAAGAGGAGAAATTAACAAGGCAAGAACGACTCAAGGTTAGCGCACTGACACTAAGAAGATTGAAGTTAAACATGGGAACAAACAGGACATTGTGCAGGGTCAGGGAGCTAGTGAGAGGCACAGTACCAACATGAGTGATTTGGACAGTGTGACCATTAGGAAGTGCGACATTAGTGTTGTGTACTAGTGTGGAATGAGAGAAAAGAGACATGGAGCAGCAGACATGATGTGTAGCCCCAGTGTCGATGACCTAAGTGTGAGGAGGAACATGAGTATGGGAAAGAGAGGAAATAGAACAGAAATTACCATTAACTTGAGAGACACAAGGACCAGCGGCCATTGGAGACTCATATGAGGATGAACCAGTAGCGTGAAGCTGCGAGCTGAGGTAAGCAATTAGTTGCTGGATGTGGTCAGTCGAAAGCGGTGCTGGTGTCGTTGGGGATGAGATGAGAAAAGCAGTGGCGACTGTAGGAGTGGTATAGGATTGAGGGGAGTTCTGTGAAGGCCGAGAACCCTGGGACATCTGGTGGGCCGAGGGCTGAGATTTGGGCTTGGGCCTGTAGCCTGGTGGAAATCCGTGAAGCTTGTAGCAGCGGTCCACAGAGTGTCCACTGAGACCACAATGAGTACATACAGGCCTCTCACGACGAGATCTGAGCTGAGAGGTCGCCGACCATGCTGCCGCCACCGCCGCCGGAGGAGACGGAGTTGGATGAAGCGCAGGCTGAGAAGACACGGTGCTAAAGGCCAAGGAATTCGAGGGAGCAGGTGAAACGGAGACGATGGAGCATTGTCTCTCCTCTTGAACCATAAGATTAAACACCTTTACAACAGAAGGTAATGGATCCATCATTAAGATTTGACCGCGCATTCCAGCATATGATTCGTTCAAACTCATAAAAAATTGCTTAACGTACTCCTGTTCTTGGTAGTCCATCCAGGATTTCATGCCACCACAATTGCAAACGGGAACGGGCTGGAAGTTCTTAAGCTCATCCTAAAGGATTTTCAATCGGGTAAAATAGGTGTTAACATCCAAAGACCCCTGAGAAAGAGCGTGAAGTTGTTGTTTAATTTGGAAGACACGAAGAGAGTTGCTCTGGCGACAGCGTTCTTGCAGATCTGTCCAAATAGCACGAGCACTGTCCAAATAGAGAAGGCTATCGGCGATTTCCTTGGAGACAACATTAAGAAGCCACGAAGTAACCATACTGTTGCAACGCAACCAGATTCCAGCAAGAGGATCTGTAACTGGAGGTTCGGAATGGAACCATCAACAAAACAAAGTTTATTCTTGGCATTAAGGGCCATGAGCATGGAACGAGTCCAGGTATTGTAATTTGGACCAGTTAGGACATGGGAGACAAGAGATAAACCAGGATGGTCACCTGTATGAAGAAAAAAAGGGCTATTAGCACTATCGATAGGAGGAAGATCTGGAGGCGGAGTCAGCGGCTGAAAACGATTGTTATTGGTGGCAGGAGGAGGGGTATTAGTGGCGGGGTTCCCCCCCGGGAGCCATGATAAAAAAAGGAAAGAAATAGAGATATGCTGCAGCGGAGATTACAGCTCTGATACCATAATAGAAAATAGAGACGAGAGAGAAGAGAAAAATAAAGCTAAGGAAGAATGAGCAGAACTTCTCATTACTTGAAAAATGGATACAATACCTTTGCTATTTTATATTGCTCCAGAATTGTTGTAACTAACTTATTCTGGAGCCTTCTACATTTTGTCATTATGTGTAACAGAAAGAAAACTAAATACTGTAAAGGATGAAAAACATAGCAAATACACCTGAATTCTAATAAAAGGCTTGTGGGTGATTTTCTGAGAAACCTATGAGCTCAAAAGCTGTGCAATATCATAAATCATCCAATTTTTAACACCCTCATGATATATAAATTATTTTACTTGAGGATTCTTTCATGGATGATGAACATTTCTCTATTCATTTGCCGTTTCCAATTTTCTGTCTCTGTTACTTCATTTCCATAATTGTTTCTTGCAATTTTTCTACTATTTTGAGCGAAATTTATCATAAAGAAACTTTTTTTTGTTTGATTTTTCGTATCCAAGTGTGTTTCTTTTGGATCTATGAGTTGTTGATTTGCTATATTTTTTGGATTATTTATTCTAAATGATTGTTATGAGAACTGAGAACTCTGATCTTGGTGATTTTAGTTTGGAAAATGATGATAAAATTCTTATTTCTAAATGCGAAATTGATTTTTTTTGGGTAGCTATCAAACTGAGTTTGACAAAATGTCGAGGAATCCCAAGGTCTTCTTTGACATCCTAATCGGAAAGGCGAAAGTGGGTCGGGTCGTATTTTGATGAGGACATTAGGGATGCAAGGAATACTCATGATCCAATCTAAGTTCCAGTTGGTCTGGTGACAAGGTATTGAGCTAAAAGATTTAAAGAAGACTTGAATAACCTAGTCCAAAGAGTTCTACAACAAGAAGAAAGTGTGTTCACTACTGAGGGTGGACAAAGGCTTGTGTTGCTCATTAAAGTTGATCCGGAAGAGAGCTACTCAAGCATGGCCAAATTCGCATGACATCCCAAGGCTCACATACATGGGAATGCTCCAAGGGATTAGGCGCACATTCCAGCAAGTTCCAAGAAGTTAGGCGCACATTCCAGCAAGGGATCAAGTCAAAATTACGGATTAAACATTTAAATTTCATAGTATACGATTTAAGGGAGGAATTGGATTCAAATTCGGATTTCCTTCCCTAGGATTAGTTTTAGGCATTTAAAAAGGAAGGAATTAGACTCTAAGTCGGAATTAGACTCTAAGTCGGATTCCTTCCCTAGGAGTTATCTTTGGGCGATTTCATTTTGTTTTAGGAGTCTATCTTCATTTAAGGCGCCTACCCCATTAAGGGTAGGATAGGACTTTTACAATTTTTAAAACCTTTCAGCTTGTTTTCGGCTATTTAAGGCTGAAATCCGAATTTAATAAGAAGTTTTGATATTTTTATTCACTTTGTGAAATATTCTTCTTGTGTTCTTGAAGAAACTATTCCGAACTTATCAAGGTTTCCTTGTGGCGTTCAACTTGACTTATCAAACGAATTTCCATACTCGTTTGTGGCGTCTTCACCATACCAAGGTTCTTACTTCGCTAAGCAACGGGTCGCGGTTTCCATCAATTCTTAAAGATCTTGGATCGTATCCCATATTTAGCTACGGGTTTCGTCACATTGTTGGCGGGGTTCGTATCATATTTGAGCTGTTTTTTGACGTTACCCCGAAAACTGTGGAAAACTTCGGCGCCCTGTGCACCGGAGAGAAGGGGATCGGGATATCCGGGAAGCCACTTCACTACAAGGGCTCAACGTTTCACCGCATTATCCCGACCTACATGTGACAGGGTGGAGACTTCACGAGGGGAAATGGGACCGGAGGAGAGTCGATTTACGGGTTGAAGTTTGAGGATGAGAACTTCAAGATGAAGCACACGGGGCCGGGAGTTCTTTCAATGGCAAATGCCGGGCCAAACACCAATGGATCTAAGTTCTTCATATGCACTAAGAAGACCCCTTGGCTTAATGGGAAGCATGTGGTGTTTAGGAAAGTTGTTGATGGTTATAATGTTGTTAAGCAGATGAAGAGTGTGAGTTTGGATACTGGCAAGACTACTTAACCTGTTGTTATTGGCGATTGTGGTCAGTTAACTGAGAACCAAACTAATCATGTAAAAATCAGTGAATGTTAGGAACCTTTTGATGTTGGAGCAGTAATGTTGTTATTGTTAGATTATGAAATTCAAGACATGCTCATTTTGGAGCGGAGAGATTATTATTTATAATCGATGTAGAGGACAAAATCCCAAGTGCAGTTTTTAACTATTCAAATTAGATTTCTAAATTCTAGTATGTGTTCATTGATGTTTATAGCTCTAACTTTTCGCCGGTGAAAGGAATCATATCGATTGTTTCTTCCTAAATGCAAGTCTCTTCCTGGTGATATTTAGGAGTGGTTGAATTGTTTCAGTGAAAAAACATTACCAGATTATCTTTTGATATTGTAATTTATGTGCTATTCATTTCTCTTTTGATATTATAACTAATTAGGAACTTACTTAACTTGGCAGATGATGGATGCTAGCTATATATAGGTGAATCTATTAGTTTGGTCTATAACTATATTTTGAGATTATATATGTAGTGTAATGATATATTGGTATTTAAATTTTTATTATTGACAAGGGTCAAACTGATCATTTTACTCTATACATATCATGGTAGATGCTAAAAATGATCATATTTGAGCCTGTGATAATTTATTATTACATAAAAAATCAAATATTATTTTTTTCCCATTGAAATATAGTTTTTAAATTTTATCTTTCAAATAAAAAGTTTTTTTTTTAATAATTAAATTATTTTTTTAGTATTTTAATTAATTAAATATTAATTATTTAGGATTATTAATTAAGGGTATTTTTGTCAAAATATAACTTACTTTCATTCTATTATGTTGTCAACCAAACAACAGAACCTTCATTCAGGTATTGATTTCATAACTCTAACCAAACTAAAGAATTAGTTTATGATTCTGGCACATTCTAATTCCATTCAATTATCATTCCGCTACTGCAACCAAACGCACCCTTAAGTTACCACGGCCAAAGGAAAGGGAAAAGAAATGGGGATTAGCCATTACGTACAATTCTCTTTTAGCTCTTGTTTTGTGCTGACTACTGTGTGCTCCTTTAATTAGATGGTTGGGTTTATATAGGGAACGGAAAAGGGTTGAGATTCAGATAATCTTTCCGATGTTTTTGTTGAATGACGTATTAATGTAGAAAAAGAAATGCTAGCTGAATTAATGTTATATATGAAATGAACTTCTTTCGGTAATGAGATATCTACATACAAATACTGTACAACAGAATCATGGAACAAAATAAGAGTTTTCAAATTTTAATTAAAGAACAAAGTGAGAATGATCCTAAAATTCAGGATTACTAATGAGATTAATCTTAAAACAAAATAACATTATTAGTCGACATCCATAAAATAAAGATTTTAAAAGATTGATAAACTAACATAATATTATAACATGTGATTTTTATGTTTCAATCCTCGTAATTACAATTTCATAATAATCTCATTTGCATTTTCATCCTCCCACTCTTCTGATTAGCCCATTAAGCCTTTACGTGAAGAAAAAGTGTTGGAATGAAATAAAAGTGTTGGAATGAAATAGGGTTGTTTGCTCATGAGTTTTTGGAGGATTGATAAACTATAGGACCATGCTTAATATTGTTATTGTTTTTGACATAATATTGTCATAAGAATTACACCAGTCTAAATATTTTGGCGCAGCTACTTGCTCCTGGAAAACAGCTGATAGGTTAAAACATTACGAAATTAATTTCATCTCTCTAGTTCTGTTGAATTTTTTATTGCAACAATCTTATATCGAGATTAACTGTCGACCCCCTAACTCATATATGTTTTCAGAGGCTTGGCGTATTGGAATTTTTTTTAGACTTTGTTCTTTATTGAGATTACCATTATTTATTTTGGACTTTCGCATTGGAATTTTATTTGAGTTCCATTAGTATATACTTTACTTTTCATATCAATATAATTAGAGGTTTTCCCGTTGACAGCATCTATTGTCATTTCAATTGCCATGTACACCAATAATAAAATGAATCTCCTAATATTTTTGGGATTTACATACATATCAGACTCATTTTTTATTAGTTGTTGCGTTTCTTAACTTTTTTTTTTTTTAAATTTGGGATAATTCGCCTAGCATAGAAAATTAATTAACGGAAAACACGACAAACTCCCGTTTTAATTTACTCAGTGACGTGGTTCCTAATATGACAATATAGAAGTGGAGAAGAAAAAGACATGCTAAATATGATAATGTAATGTTTGATGATATACAGTCAAATATGAATAGCATACATACTCATGTGTATAAATACTTTGGCGCAGGCTCTATATGTACATGAGTGGTCAGCTGATAAACTTTAAATCAGGCTAATTAAGCCTTCCGCAGCCTTATAATTAGTTGGGAGTAAGCTGTTAAGTGCACTATATATGCTATTTGAAATATAGCGTTAATTACTACTTTAATTTGTAATATGCAGGCCGGACTCCAGCCTGTCTATGAGAGGATGGAAAATAGAAATTGTACTCTTCAAATAAAATAAAATAAAAGGAAGAAGAAGAAGAAGATATTAACATTTTAATCACTCGGGTTCAATATTTCTAGGATTTAATTACCACCTTCAATTTCTAATTATGTTTCTCAGCTGCAACTTTGTAAACCTTTTATTTGATAAAAATATATCCAAAACAAAAAATATGCACAACAAAAAACCCTGATCTATAGGTTTAAAGTTCAAAGCCAAAGTCTTATTGATCATTGAAATATTCTTATACTTTTTCTGATCTTATCCCAAAGAAAAGAAAATATATTGTCCCTCCATATAAAATGACTTTTGACTTTAATTTTAATCGGCTTTTGCCGCCTTTACATTATTATTTCATCTAGCTTTTGATCCATCGATGGCCTACGTTACCATATATAGGCCCTGGAACGAATTGTTGCTCCAATATAATAATATATTTCCTCCGTTTACTTCTATGCTTGGAAAAGTCCTTCATTTTCTGGCTTTCATTTATGAGCATAAATTTTAAACCGCAAAATCGTTGCTTGCTGCCAAGGAGTTAAATGGTTTGGCTGATCATTCATTTGATGAAGGTTCAAGCGACACAAAACAATGGAACGAAAGATGGATGTTTATTTAGAATAAGATATTTTTGAAAAGTATGATGGGATAAGAGAAATCATGAGTTATAATTTTTAAGTCCCTCTCCAATTTCTAGATTGGAAAGACAATGGAGAGGAAAGATTGCAATTTCATATTAGACTAGAGATTCCTATAGCAGGAATCAAGACCATCGCTTACCTTGCCTTCATTTAAAAAGAAACTAATCATTACAAGGTGTTGCGAAATTGCTTTTGAATTCAATTGAAGTGCGTGCTCGTAAATGAACGAATCGTAAAAGTAATAATGTGTATCTAAGTACAGATATCGTTCCATAGAGATTGAGTTTTTGCAAGTTAAACTAAGTACTGCAATTATAATAACTACAACTTTATCTAAACTAATCATTACAAGGTGTTGCGAAATTGCTTTTGAATTCAATTGAAGTGTGTGCTCGTAAATGAACGAATCGTAAAAGTAATAATGTGTATCTAAGTACAGATATCGTTCCATAGAGATTGAGTTTTTGTAAGTTAAACTAAGTACTGCAATTATAATAACTACAACTTTATCTATGCTATTAAATTCGAGTAACTGTAACAATTAAAATAATACAATTAAACTAACAAAGCAAGTAAAGAAGTAATTTGAAAACAAGAAGGGATCGAAGGGAACTCTGATGGTATTAAGGCGGCTAGGGGTCCGATTTCATCCTACCGAGCTATGCTAATCTGATTCTTAAGTTTGTTAACTAATTCCATTTAATTCATTAAATTTAGGTTTTTGAAAGTAATTTCACTCCCTCTTCCGAGTGCCGAGTAAAACAGTATGCAAGACCCTGTTAAACAATATCCCTATTAGCCTAACCAAATCAAGCATCCATTAAGCAACCTAATATTGATTACCCGAATTAATTGGCCTCCCGAACTCAACTAACTCTAGGTTGTGCTTTCCCAAATCTAACATGTGAAAGTAACTCTCTCGAGCCTAAATCCACAGTACATTTATATCTCTAATTCAATAGATAATCAAATTAGACAATAAGCATAGAGGAACACAAATGGATTGAAGTGAAAATGCATTAACAAGCATATAGAATCTTCAAAACATAGCAACAGGTAAAACTACATCAAACCCCTAGCTCTAAAGAGTTTAGCTAGAAGTATACATCAATAATCCCATAGCATAAAGCCTAAACAAACCAAGAATCTAAACCATCATACAATCTCAAATAAAAGAAAATAACACAAACTCAAAAACTAAATGAGAGAGAGGGAGAAAGAACGAAGAACAAGATGCCAATCGAGCTCTAAAATATACAATCCCTCCTTGGAATCTTCAATCCCACTCTTGAATCCTTGTATTTTCCTTTTCTAGATATGAGTTCTCTATCTCCAAAGTCTCCTTTGTTATTCTTAGCTCATTTCTATTTATAATCCCCTTAAAATCAGTGCAAATGAAGCCTTAAATGAATGCAGAACGCATGGAGGCGCTGCAGTTGATAAATTTCTTGCTACACCGCCGCTTTAAAAACCCTCAAAAGAACCCTAGTGGAACAGGCATACTCGCTGCAGTGGGGTCTTCAGTTTTCAAAATGGCGCTGTAGCGCTTGCGGCAGCATCTAAGAGCTACTTTTCTGTTGATTGCGCTACAGCGTGAGTTTCGTTCCGCTACAACGGCTTCATGTCTTGATTTGGCTACCATTTCTGCTCTTTTGAAGACTTTTTTATTCATTTTAACTCAAACCTACAAAAGTAAGATAAAACACACTAAAAATACCAAGAACCAAAAATATCTAAGATTGGTAAGTAATAAAATCGAGCTATCACAAGGTCAAGTAATTTTGGCGTTAATTACTCATGTAACCTTTTTTTTCTCTAAAAAAATGATGACGAGTAAATCCTCCATTTAGATTTACTAATAAGAAAAAGAAAACAAAGTAAAAGAAGGTCAAATACCAGTCACAACGACTAACAAAACAAGAACAGTAAGAAAAAAAAATAATAGGAAACAAATCTATGAAAAAGGCCAACGAAAACAACTGGAACGTGTGATGTGAGCTAATCCGGTATTATTTGAGAAAATTACATAATTTATCCTTAAGAGTGCACGAATCTAGACTTTTACCCCTTATTCTTGATAAATACCATTTTATTAGTGTAATTATTTAACTAAAAATGTTATGAATCAAGAGTAAAGGGTAAAAATCACGAGTCATGCCTAACTAATACACTTTTAAAGGGTATTTGTCAAGATTACCCGTATTGTTTACGCAACTTGAAAACACTAAGTGCTTTTACTAACTCAAAATATCAATAAAAATTCAAAAGCTGTTTTCTCTACTCTCTCAGCTCACTTAAAAAGCGAAATGCTTAAATATGAGAATTTCACAGATAATATGCATTAGCACAAGGCATAGAAACGTACTCAAGAAAAATCCCGTGAGTCTAATCCCTCCCACTTCGAACATGAAAAGTTGTTTTCTCTCCTCTCAACTCACTTAAAAAGCGAAATGCGTAAAAATGAGAATTTTCTCAGATAATATACATTAGCACAAGGCATAGAAACATGCTTAAAAAAAATCCCACGAGTCTAATCCCTCCCACTTCGAACATGAAAAGCATAATCATTTTTCTTTTCAGTGTCAAGGATTATAACTCTCTATGTAAATTTGTCATTTTTCTTTTCAAACGCTTCATAGTTATCGAGTTTCTTTTTAAGATCAATGCAAAGTTGGATACAAGGTAAAACCTTACTGTTTAATTCTGGTGGAATTGAACGTGACAAAGGAACGTCTAAACCTATTAACTTGCTTTCTTGACATAATTGGGATAAATGGTCTCTGGTGATTATCATCAACTTGGAAGGTTTACAGAAATCGATGTTAATTGTTAGATTTCATAGCAGACAACCGGGGTTGCATCATGTAAGAAGACTTTTTCGCTTTTTAAACAGATTATAGCAAAGAATTTGCCAAATGATTGGTTGTCGAGATCAAACCTCAATGATCAGGTTACCAAGTTGTTGATACGTGATCTCCAAAAATGTGATTAGAGAGAGAGTGACTCGCGAGGAGATTATAGAGAAGGGTTTGGGGAATTGGAGAGTCCAGCAGGTTTGAATTTTGAGATGAGAGGTGAGGATTTGTGTGTGTGTATATATATATATATATATACATATATATATATGTATACATGTATGTATGTATGTATGTATGAAATGAGTGAGAGAGGGTTTCAATTTGAAAGAGGAGAAAAGTGAATCAGTAGGGAATTTTTTTTGGGAAAATCTATTAATGAGGGGAGGAATTGGCTAAATAGCCAAGTGAATCGTTGAAAAAGAATCAAATAAATAAGAACACATTCGTAATAGCTTATTTTAAATATGAGAGTTATGTTTACTTTCAGCCAATTCACTATGATGAAGAAATTTATAAGAGAAAGTCATACACATCTTAGACTCATTATATTTTCTCTAACTTTTATAATTAGCCCTAAAATTAGAGCCCCTTTGTATAGAGCAACTAGGATAACTGAATTAGTAAGTGTGAAATCCTCAAGGCAATCTTAATTAATTTTTATCGGGGCTTCCCGCCTCCCTTTCAACCCCACGTTGATCCGTTTATTATCTCTATGTAAGACAATAATCGTCAGAGTTATAATTAGGCTCTACAACTTAACAACTCCAAATGTTGTTATTTTCTTTTAGCAAAATCTAATACTGATTGTAGACTAGTCTTGGAACCCAATCCTTGTTATATTTTAGTTAAGTTAAAATATTGAATAAATACAAAAGATCAACTAGATTTGTCTAACCAGCTGTTTAGATCTTTGAGTGTCAAAAATCATAGAATTTGAGATAAAGATACAAATACTAAAGACAATTATGTGTCTTGTTTTTTTATCTAAGCTGTTAACAATAGTAAGAGGAGTTGGTCAAGTGTTATTTCATTCATACTAGCTGGTGCCACTATTTTCGCGATTTTAGGACTGAAGGGAGTGCAATGATCATTTTGAAGAGACATTATTGAAGTGCAAAGATTTTCTTGGCATTCAGTACTTAGCACTATATATATATATATATATATATATATGCGGTACACAATCTTTAAAAGAGAAAAGTGACGACTCTACAATCTCTCTAGCTAGATTTGCCAAAGTTGGATCAGACACAAACCAAGATTTCCCCCCCTATTTTCGCATTCCAAAAAGTAGTTTTTGATCCTTTTCAATGCGAATATTTATATGAAAATTAAGATTGATGTTAACACGAATGACCTTCTGTGGTACATATTAATTTTAATTCACGTGAATGGAAGTAAAAAATAAACTAAAATCATCAGTCCTGCTAATTAATAATTTGGACTTGATCGAGATTGATTCGGATATTCGCTACAAACAAAAGAGTTTAATCATTGATGATAAAATAAAGACGTTGCAAGACAGATTGTCTTTTGTGTGTGAAAACAAACAAGTGTGGAACAATAATGCTGCATCGATCGTTCAGCTGATTTAACTAAAATACCAAACACCCAACTAGGAACACATAACAACAAAAATTAGTCATATATGTATATTGAAGAAAAATATGTAATATTTCATGTCGACCAAGACTTGTTTTACTTTCTCATTCACCCACCTATATTCAGCTATGTATAATGATATTCTGTTCTAGTTTCCTAGCTAGTCAAACTAGAATTAGTTGTATGCTTCAATATATTTAACTTTGTTAATATATATGAATCCACTTTTGTGTTCCCTTGTTTTATTTTAAATCCTTCTATTAATTCATGATACATTAATTAGAATATCGTGTCACATCAATAATTCAATTGTCGTAGTATGACATTATTGTAAGAGAAAAAGGAATATATAAGCTTAATCCATTTATATATGTGCCAAAATTAGATTGCAAGCCTAAGAAAGTTTTGATGGCCGTCGAAACTTTTCTTGAAAAGGAAAATTTAGAAGAATGCACCTTTAGTGAAAGAGCATAATTATTTTTTTAAATGCTACAAATTTCAGTCTACATTTTTTCCCTGTTTATATCAAGGGAGAATAAAGTAAATAATAAATTTATAGAAAATTAATTAAAATAAATAGTAAATTTAAAAACTATTTAAAGTAAATAACAGTTTACCTTATAAATATTTTATTGACAACTAATAAAAATATTTTTCATGTAAATTTTCTTTTTACGATTGAGAAAAAAATTCACATAAATTAAAATTTTTACCGCATAAATTATTTTTACTAATTATAAATGAATTATTTACATCACAAACTACTATTTATTTTAAATAATTTTAAAATATACTATTTACTTAATTTAATTTCATAACTTTGTTATTTACTACAATTCCCCCCGTTAAGGGCACTCAAATTGGACAAATTACGTCATATTCCCTAATTTTCTCATAAAAGCCTTTTTGATCGACCCAGGCCCATACTACCCATCGTTGCTTTGGGCTCCAATTACTTGGTTCATTCCAACCCAACTCAAAACTGGCAGGCCCCAGTAAAATCGGCGCGGCTAAAATGAGAAAAGTTGTGCAACGCCATTCTAAATAATTAGATAGATGTTATCATCATCTTTTATTGTCTTTATATATAGAATGACAATTATTTATTCTAAATAAAGTGATATAAATTATATTTTTATTATTTTGAGTGATACTTTTTATTTTTAGTTAAAATTGAAATGTGATGTCTTTTTACGAGAAAATTATGATGTAAGTGAATTCTTTTGAACAATTTAGGGCTCGTTTATTTTATGCATTTAAATTCATAATTTTGATTTTATTATAATATTTTTCTCTTATAAAAAATTTAAATTTCAAATACCAAAATCAAGAATCACTAATTTAAACACATAAATTAAATGGGTCCTAAATTTGTGAATTATTTTCCCTAAAAAGAATTAACATTTTAAGGTCTCATTCAGTTCACGGATTCAAGTTTTTAATTTGAGTTGAGAAGTGATTTTATGTGAGAGCTTTTAACTGTATCAGAAAAAGTTAGATGTGACTTTTTATGAGAGCTTTTAACTGTAATAAAATTAGAATTGAAAACTCAAATTAATAAAATAAACGAGGTCTAAATTTTATGTAGTAAAGACAAAAGAAATTGATGTATATTTTTTATTTAAAAAAAATTACATTTTAGCACGCTGAGTTGAAAAATAATGAGAAATTTATAGATTCTAATTTTTTAAGTACCTAATTTATTAAAAATATCCATTTTAACAAAATTTTTCTCATTGTTTAGTTCTAAACTAAAAAGTATAAATATGTAAGCTAATATAAGCTAATGTGACAGGTGAAAATAAAAAAGGTTCATTTCAATAGGTATGTTTAAGAATTGTCTAAAAAATGGCCCCTATTGTGAGCCAAATTGCGATACTAAGAGCGCGTTTTGAATTCGTTTTAAAATAATTTTATTTTTTATATGAAAATGAATATGAAAACATTTTCAATCTCAGATATAAATTATTTTTGTAATGCGTTTAGTAGTTTTATCTAGATATTATTTTCAGTATAAAAAACTCATTAATATATATTTCTCTGTGCTCGAGAGATGAGAAAACGAAAATAAAAAATAAAAAATAACTAAAAATTATTTTTTATTTTTCTTTCATTTTATATTAAACTAAAAAATTATTTTTATTTCTATTTTTTATTCTTATTACACTAAACATCATTTTAAAAAAAATTTTATAATTTTTTTAAATAAATAAATAAATAACATGATCAATTTTAAATGCGGCCCAACCCTCCCGGGTACTTCCACGCTTTCCACTTGGACCGAAAAAAAAAAAAACACCTGCTTTCCTCCTAATCCCAGCATATAAATAAGAGAATCCCCATCATCTGGAGACCCGAACGACACACTTCGAATCCAAAAACGGCATCGAAAATGGCGAAACCGATCTCCCAATCCCTGATCTGTGGCCTCCTAGCTCTATTCATGGTGTCGTTGGCTCTCGGCGCCTCCGACGACGTTCCCTTCATCGTCGCCCACAAGAAGGCCTCTCTCACCAGGCTCAAGTCCGGCTCCGAGCGCGTCTCCGTCTCCATCGACATCTACAACCAAGGATCTCTGTACGTCTTTTCCTAATTTCAAATTGAGAATTTTTTTCCTTTTCCTGTTCAGATCCAGCTTGAATCCTCTGTTTCAGATCCGATTGACCTTTTGCATGCATGATCTGATTGATCTTGTCTGGATATATATGTCTCGGATTAGGGTTTGCGAACGTGAATTTATTGGAATTCTAGTATAGATACGGAGAAAATTCAGCTCGAAACTAACGAAATTTTTGTCTTTTTTCTTTTTGTGTGTGTGGATCTAGAACGCCGTTACAGAACATAATCTTTGTGGCGTCGATATACGAAGTTTATTGATTGTTTTTAAAATTAAATTAATGTTTTCGATGCGATTTTTTTAATAACTCTTTGCAAAGACGAAAGGTGTATCATCAGATTAGTGTGCTTATATGTTGTGTTTTTGCATGCGTGAATTAATAAGTATTGGGTTACGTGATTGAGTATGTGAAAATTTTTACGGAAGTGTGAATAAAAAAAGAAAGAGGATATAGTTGTTTTAAAATGGTCACGGATAGACAAAAATCGGTTGAAACCTGAATGTTCCATTTGAAGGAAATGTGACCGAATACTGATAGAAATGGTCTTGTTTATTATATTCTTTTTTCCTTGACGTGCAAGAGAAGAGAAGAGAGTTCACCACTCACCAATGACTTGCTCATGATGGACATTTTCATAGTGATTCAAAGTTCTCCTGTCTAAAAATGGATTGATACACTTTTTTTTTTTTTTTTTTGGTTTCTTTGCTTGAAAGTTGATACTGATAGAGTGATATATTCACTTGATATTTGTAACTTATTATAGGGATTTTTCTCTTTTACGTTGCGCCCATGATGTATTTCTCTCTCTATCAGTTCTTATCTTTATATGCTTTTTCAGGACGGCATATGATGTAAGTTTGAATGATGATAGCTGGCCCCAGGAAATCTTTGATGTAGTTAGCGGTAACATTTCAAAGTCATGGGAGAGGCTTGATGCGTGAGTCCCGCGTATTTGTTATGGCATTTTTTTCACCTTGTATTGCCTCCATTGGATTTAGCCTTATTTTTGTTTTCGTATCTTATCAATTTCCATAATACAGTGGTGGAATTCTATCCCATTCTTTTGAATTGGAGGCCAAAGCGAAAGGACTTTTCAATGGTGCACCTGCTGTCATCACATTCCGTATTCCCACGAAGGCTGCTCTACAGGTGGGACATATGTCATCTTTGGTGATCTTTGCTCCTTTCTTTTTCCCTCCTTTTCCCAGCCATTTGAGATTTTTTTCCTGACTACTTTTTTTTTTTTCCATCAGGAAGCATATTCAACTCCAATCATTCCTCTAGATGTTCTTGCTGACAGGCCTCCTGAGAAGAAGTTTGAGTGGGTGAGTTTTTTGCACAACTTGCTTGGTTGCTGTTTTAAGCTGGCTGATTTTGAACACTTCCCGTTTTAACTGAATCCTTTTGTTTTTGTTGTTATGGAATTATCTTCGACTGGGCCCAAATTTCTGCAGGTTAAGGTGTGTGACTTACTCTCATTGGTTCAAATGTTTTGGATTTTGAAAGTTTGTTAAACATCCTAGGTGACATTTGATCTTATGTTGTGCCTTTTCTGGACCAGTTTGGCTCTCTTGGAGCAATCTACAGTTTAATTAATAACCGACTTAAAATAATAAGTTTGCTGTCGACCTCTTTCATTTTGCAGAGACTGTTGGCTAAATATGGGTCTCTGATATCTGTGATCACCATTGTGGTTCTGTTCGTGTACCTGGTTGCCACTCCTTCCAAATCCGGTGCTGCAAAAGGAAGCAAGAAGAAGCGCTAAGACAATTGAATGGCGTCGCAATTGAGCCTCTCGAAGCAGTAGCATGGCTCTATGTACCAGTTTAATTTTATACGCCGCGTTAGTGACCTATGATCCTTTGTTAGAGATTTTATGAGAATAGTTGTTGACGATGCTAGGACCAGGCATAGCTTGAAACGGGTATTGGGACATCCGGGATCATTGACTTACTATCAGTTTTGAAAGAGACATTATATTTTGCTTATGATGTTGTTAGAATTTCAGTACTCAATGAGAAGTGGGCTTCATGTTGCCCTCAATACCATGTGTGATAAAATTATGGATATGATTACGTGAACTTAGTACTTAGTAGCGAGTCCTTGAGAACTTGTTTGGCGGGTGGGAAAGTAAAAGAAAGGAAGGCTTGAGGGGATTACTGGAAGGATTTTGGTGCCAGCCATGGTGGTTGGTAGGAGAGAAAAGAGTAGGGAATGGATTGGGTGAGACAATCCATACCAAGAAGGGAAAGGTCCTCTCCTCTATTTTTCTCAGTTTGTAATTGTTTGTCCTTTTTTTTTATTACTAGTAATTGTTTCTCTTTTTTTTTTTTTTTTAATTGCTAAACGTAGCTAAGAGTTGGATGTGGCATACTCCTCGACTCTTACAAGAAGAGCACTGAACTCTCTGAGGATAAAAAATAAAGTAACAAACTAAAATAGTGGTTATGTTTATGATTGGTAGTGTTTAAACTATAAAGTTCAACTTATAACTGTTAAGCATCGCTGTAAATGCTAATCTCAGTGTTTGAAAAATATAAGAAGGGCTTAATAACATTAACGGGACTTGATTATGAATTTGTGATATTTCATTTTTTGAGCATTCTTGATATTTCATTTTTTGTGCATTCGTAGTTTCTGCAAATATTGGAGTTGAATATGCTTGGAGTTGAATATGCAAATTTGAATATGCTTTTTCACTGGCTATTATGTTTAAATGAACCAGAAAAACACTTGTTTTGAAAAATCAAATTTGCTTATATTTAGTAATAATTTACTATTTTGCACCACAGAAGGGAGAAAACCCACTCCGAATCCCCATATTTGAGGACAATATTTTCTTCGGACTCAAAATAGAAAGAAGCTTCCTCAAATTAAAAAAAAAAAAAAAAAGGAAAATGAAAAACAAAAAGAATAACAGAAAGAAGCAAGGTGCATGAAAATTGTAGTGGGTTTGAAGGGTCGCAGATATTCTGAGAACTCCGTCGTCTACTTCTTCAACCTAAAATTACAACCAAAAAAGATAAAAGGAATGAGAAATTAGAAGGGAAATAGTATTATGCAGAAAACCATTTCGTATTCTTCTTCAAGCTGAAGAAAAGTTCAGAAGAAAAATTGCTCGGGAAAGAGCTCATGATCTTTCCCCTTCCGCAAGTCTTTTAGAGTTTATCAGCATCTTCTTCTTCTTCTCCTCTCTCTCTCTCTCTCTCTCTCTCTCTCTCTCCCTTAACACCAGGTAATCTTTTTTTTCACCTTTATCTCCTTGTGACAACTCCCGGTAATGGTTTTTTTTCACCTTTATTACCTTGTGACAACTCCCGGTAATGGTTTTTTTTTTTTTTCTTTTCGTTTTGGGTTTCCTAAATGAGCTATGAACCTAATCAGAACTTGCTTTCTACTTTTTGAAGGGGCAAAAAAAACAAAAAAAGAGATGTGTTTCACAAAATTTATGGATTTTTTTGTCTTCCAAGTTTTGCTGGAATGTGGAGATTTGCTTTGCTCTTGCTCCTGATATTGTAGTAACTTGCTTCACAAGTTATTTTACCTATTTTTTCTCATCAGTATGTGTTGAATCTTCAGATATTCTTCAGTTTTTGATATAAAAATGACTGAATAATGACTCTGATTTTTCCCCTTAGAGTATGAAAAAATTGATCTAATAAGGTTTTTGGCAATTTCAAGTTAAAGTATGTTTTCATTATAAGTTGCTATTAATATCTTTTGAATTCTCCATTAACTTCTTTTTATCCTCTAGAGAAGTTTCCATAATAGAGAAGAGACTAAGAGAACATGGCGAATAGTGAGAAGAACCCCATCAACAGTACTGAGCATGTGACATTGTTGACCCAAAATGACATGAACAACTTGAGGCTGAAATTCAATATCCCTGCGGGGGTAAGGTTGCGAATCCCCTCGGTGGGGGATCTGCCGTCTTGTCCCAAGCCAGGGGAGATTGGTTTGTACACTGTGGCCTTTGAATACGGCCTGCGATTACCCTTTCATCCCTTCATCAGGACCGTGCTGGCGCATTTCGACCTGGCCCCAACTCAGCTAAGTCCGAATGTGTGGAGGCACATGGCCGGCGCCATCATCTTGTGGCGCATTTGCAGCGAGGAAAAGGACCACATCACCCTGGACGAATTCAACTTCTGTTATATGTTGCGTTACAGACCTAAAACCAAATTCTGGTTCCTCTATCCAAGAGACAATCGCGTTTTGGTGTTGGATTGCCCAAAATTCTTGGCTAAGGGCTGGCAGGAAAGGTTTTTCTTCGCCAGAGGCACTGACTGGGAGTTCAGTCCCAAAGAACGAACACTTCCTTGCGCTTCGCTCGTCCCTAAGGAGTGGGGGGGCTTTCCTGGTGTGATTTCTCTCCCCCATGATCTTCGCTCTCCCGTTTTCGTATAGAATGTTGTTGTTTTTTTTTTCTTTCCTTCCTTGACTATGATCATTGACTACTTTTGTTTGTTGCTTTTAGATGCAGAGAAGCTGAAAGAACCAAAGCTCAGCAACTTCTATAGGTCTAGAGTTAAAAGAGCTCTTAAATTCGACCATAACTACAGGGCTTACAAGAATCTGATAACGCCGGAGAATGTTCAAAAGTACTTGTTGGATGACATTCCTGTGGTGATTGTTTTTTGTTCCTTTTTAATGGTTTTTTTTTTTTTTTTTTCATTTCTCATATTTACTGAAGATGGTTTAACAAACAGTCTCTTTGCGCTTCAACCATGATGTTTTCCCCAAATCCTTGAGGTTTCCTAAAGCTAAAAGAAGAAGAAGAGGTCCTAACATGGAAGCTCATCCGTCGACCGAGAAGCATGACTTTAGTGCTAGAAGCAAGTTCAAGTCAAGCACTCTCCACACTGCTCATGGTTGGTCCCATCCTTCGCCTTTTGACCGGCTTGGAGGACTTGCTGTACCTGTCGTCCTAGAGTCATCTTCCAGTGAAAGTTCTTTACAGATTGTTGACGAAGATGAGAAAGGTCCCTCTCTCCTTCACAAAGATAATAACTCTATTTTCGAGCGAGTTAAACAGCTTCTTTCCCCGGATGAGATGAAGCGGATGGAGGAGTTGGGACTCAATAAGACATTGCAGAAAGGCATTTGCTACTCTGTCAAGGCAATCTTTTACCCATCTATTTAATATTTCAAAAGAAAACAAGAAAAAGGCTTTTCTTTATTCTGCGGTCAGATTTAACTTTTAACTCTTCTTTCTTGTTTAGGCCCTGGAGATGATGCTTACTTTTTTTGCTCAATCCGAATCGGAGTTGAAGAAGAGGAAGATTTCCAAGCAAGAGGAGACTATTGCTTTGCAGAAAGCTCAGATTGCTTACTTGGATCAGTTGGAGACCAATTATAGGCTTTCTAAAGAGATGGACACTATCAAAAATCAACTTGCTGAGGCAGAGAAGTCACTCAAGACTCGAGAATACGAAATCCATAACAACGATGTCGAGGTTCTTTCTAAGGAAGCGGAGCTTAATGCTAAGGACTTGAAGCTTCATGCTAAGGATGCCAAGCTGCAGAGTAAGGATGTGGAGCTTCGTGCAAAAGCTGAGGAACTTTGCGCAAAGGATGAGCAAATCCATGTTCTCAAGGAGGCTGCACATAACGCTGTCAAAGTGTTCAAAGAGTCGAGCGAGTATGAGACTTTGATGGGACAGTGGTTCCTTAAGGGATACGACGCTTTCCGCTCTCAGGCCTCGTCACTTCCTCCATACGCAGATTGGCCAACCTTAGAGCCCTTTTCTGGTGGTGACCGAAAACCAACATGAGGAGTGACTTTTAGAACACAAGTATAGAAGTACCTAACTATTTCCTTATAATGTCGTGAAACTTATCTCAGTTTAATCTTCTTTTGCAAAGAAAAGAAAAGAAGAGAAAAGAAAAGAAAAACACTTTTAGGTTTGGTTAACATGCTTCACAAAGAGTTGAAGTCATTTTATTTAACTTTGTCATCGCTATGTATTAGAGCGTGGAATCTATAGTACTCGTATATTTTGCAGTTTTTTAATATGAAATGACAAAAGTAAAGTAAATTGTGGTTTCTAGTACTTTTGGGTTCATGCGTTCATGAAAATAAGGTGCACTTTTTAGTGCACTGTTACTACTTGTTCATTGAAATTTAAACGTTCTTATGCAGGAAACTGTTTGTGAATTGTGATCATACCGAGAGTATTTATCTTAGATGTTAATGAACTAGCCTGATATTTCTCTTTTTCTGCGACGCATGAATGGCAAAACGATACCATTTTAGAGAATACTACGTGATGTAGGGGCTTCATTGTTTATTCCAATAAAAATGACGAAAATTCCAAAAACGACAATTTTCTGAAATACGACATCACTTTTAAACTGATGATTTCTTATGATGCAGTGAATCAATTGTAAATAGAAAGGTAGAAGTAGAAGAATTCAGGTAAACAACAACAACTTCAAAAACGGCAATACTAATAGTCTAAAAAACGACATCACTTTATGAACGACCACATCAAGAAATCTATCGATTTTGGTTTGTTGTATCAAGTTTTCTATATTGAGTTTTATGTGAGTTTCACAGTTTTTTATTAATGAAATGTTTTTAACATTTAAAAAAAAGTTTATAGTGATTTTATTCACACAACCCTTTTTACTCTCTACCTCCCCTTTACCTTAAATTTTTTTTATGATAAAAGGAGCCTAGCATACAATGACCAAAAAAAGTAATTATAGTATATTTAATTATGTAATTAGATCTAATTTAAAAAAGAAACTAATTATATAATTTTTATCTTTCTCCATACACCCCACATGTTATATCCAAAATCATAAACTATTGCTATTTTAAAATTAATAAAAAGCCTCTAATTTTCACATTTCAATGACTATTCTAAAAAATTGTATTGATATATTGTTAAATTTTCTTTGCTATTGGTTGGTTGTACGACGATTTTTATTTTTATTTTTTTTTCATTTCATGTTTTAATTTTTTTAAAGACTAATCATTTTATTTTGTTTTTTATTTCATTTTTGTATAAGTTTGATTTTTTTTTCGTTTTATCTTCTATTTGTTTTTTCTCTCTGTTTTTTTTTTTTTTTATTTTTGTTTTGAAAAAAGACTTCACACTTTTTTTTTTTACTTTTGTTTTGAAATAAACACCCAAATCTTAAAAAAAAAAATAAAGGGATAGAGAAATAATATTATTTAAATAACAAATTAAAATAAAATGGTGGGTGAGAAAAAAAAAACTAAAGTAGATAAGAATTAATTATTTTATAAAAGGGAAAATGAGAGAAATAGCAATTTGATAGGATGTTTAGTAA